GTTTGTGTGTGTGTGTGTGTGTGTGTGAGTGACCCCGGAGGAGGGTGCAGCGGGTGGGGGGGAGGGAGGCGACCGCGTGGCCGGGCAAAACAAACACGATCGGGCTGGGCTGAGCCGGCCCCGCTCGGGTCCCGCGGCTCCGGAGGGGCGAGGGAGCGCGGTCCTTTTCCACGGAGGGCACGGGTGGGGTGGGCTCTGGGGCTTTCTGGAGGGGTGGGAGGGGGTGGGACGTGTTGTAAGGGTTGGGGGGCGTTGCAGGAGTTTACTGGGCTGGGGACGATGGGAGTTGCGATCCGCGTGGCCTGGAAAGCGGGGGGGGGAGAGATACTGGCACCCGCGGAGGTCTCGGGGGTTGGGGGTGGGGAGAAGAAAAAAGAGGTCGGAGGGAACAGAAACTGAACTGGCGCAAAAGGAGGTTGGCACGGATGTAGCGATGGGTGGAGGCTCCCGACGTCAGCCCGGGGAGGGCCGGTCGTGGCAGCCGACTTGGGGAGGGAGGATAGGCCGTTATGCAACCCTCTGGCAAGGAGAAGGAAGCCTGCCCTTCCGAGTCCCGCTTGGGCTGCGTTCACACGACCCTTGCTCCTGTTGACTCGAATGCACGCGTTCGGGCTTGCAAAAATCCAGGGGTGCGCCTTTAGGCTGAGTTCGTGAAGCCCTCAAGCAAGAAACCAAAGACAGGTCGTGTGAACGCACCCCTTAACGCGGTAACCTTAGTTAAGCGTCCTTTTCCGTTGCAAAACGGCTTGTTTTCATCCGTCCAGGATGTGCCAGGCAAGGCATGCCCGGGCCGGGCAAGTCGTCTCCGCCACCCAATGCATCGAGCAGCGCGCAGGGATCAGCGCACCATTGCAAAAGAGCGCGCACCGCGGCCGGGAGCGCAAGTGTCAGCTGGCCCTTGACAATTGGGGTGGGAGGGGGCTTCCTCCGGAGTGAGACACAGTCGTGCAAGCCACGTGGCGTCGGACAGACCTTTCGGTTGGTCCTGGTGGCGCCCCCCCCTTTACACGCCCCTTTCAATGTCGAGTAAACTCGGCTCTTTAAGAATTCTGGGAGTTGAAGTCCAGACATCTGAAAAGTGGCCAACTTTTGAAAAACACAGATTTAGGGGGGAAAGGGATGATGTTCTCTCCCCCCCTCCAGTGTCACACCTCACCTCTTGGTACCTTCACAATAAACTCGCTAGATGTAACTTCTCCAGAAAGTTTTCTAACAAGGTCCTCTTTTATAACTGGTTTCAAACTGCAAAAGAAGGAAAATTAAAGTTTAGGGGGCACTTTAACAAAAGAACACACAACACTCTCTCAGCTGGGAAATGACAGCTTTAGGAGGGGGCAGGGTTGTCTGGATGTGTGTCACACAGTTGTTAGCCAATCCGATGGGTGGCTAGGGAATTCTGGTCCTTGAAGTCCACCCATCTTCAACATCTACACAGCAAGGGGTCTTCCAACTTGGCCCTTTTATGACTTGTGGACTTCAACTCCCAGAATTCCTCAGCCAGGCACACGTGCCTGGCTGAGGAATTCTGGGAGTTGAAGTCCACAAGTCATAAAAGGGCCAAGTTGGAAGACCCCTGGTCTACAGAGATTCTCAATCATCCAGGTCACGATTGTCCCAAAGGTCCTTTGTTTTTTTTCCAAAAAGCAACTGGACCTGATTTTTTATTTTTTTTTTGAAAACATTTTTGATCGTCTTTCTAAATCGGTCAGGTTATTAAAGAAGTGAGTTTATTTTTTTCATCTCAGATTGAGACATTTAATGAGGGTGGGTATCCCAGATTGAGCCATGTTTTTCCAAGATATAAAGGGTCTCTAATCTACCAAACATTAGATAAACTTTAAAAAACATTTTGGACTGACCTAGAGTGAAATACACACACAAAAGGAAAAAAAAGGCTGGGGTGGGGTGGGGGAGTTGACAAACTTTAAATGCTTTTTGTTTTTATAAAAAACATTTTTGTAAAAGTGTACACATGAAGGTGGGTGTATTTTTACATGAAAGAAAAGTAGAAAAATCCTGTTTTCTGTTTGTGTGAACAAACTAGGTCTGGAATCTGAAAGTAACACTTCCTTAAGTTTTGCAGCTTGGATTTTTGTAATCTTACACACATCAAGAATATATTAGCACCTTTTTTTTAAAAGCGTGTTTAAAATTTGGAAAGCTGTATAATCTATTTTTTGGTGCCAATTTTCTTTCCACGGTTACATTTTTCGCCTGCTTTCTGCAAACATATTGGGCAGGAAGTTGTTATAATAAAATATTGTTATAACAATATTATAAAATGGTTATAATTGAGTATTATAAAGGGTGCAGAACGTTTTTTACATTGAGAGCCAAACAGAAAGGTGGGGAACGATAGGAAAAAAAAGGCAAAGAAACAGATTTTCCTTCTGTTCCACTCTAACTAGGTGAAATAAACTGCATTAAAATGTGTTAAAAGGAAGGTAATCTCCATGAACAAAGCTTCTGATTTCTTCTAGCCCCAAAAGTTGACAGCACTTTTTTTTTTTACAACAGCTGTGAAATAGTTATTAGCACCATAATGACAAGACGGCATACTACCAGCTTTGTGCCAGCTGCAAATATCATCTGTTGCCAACAGATTTATTTACTAAACTACTTTTAAAAAAATATAGAGTCTGTTATGTAAGTTTCAGCATTGCTATGGTGTCCCATTTCCATGTTCAGAGTGCAACTTGGGAAGGAACCTGTTTCTTAGCAAGTCCAGAAATGAGACTTCAAAGTCGTGGGAAGGCGTGGAAGGCTGAGTTGAAAGGATTGTGGCTGTTTTTCAAGGATGGTGTCATTCAGGGATACGTTGGGGCTACTGCAGTGTTTCTCAACTAAAACAACTTTAAGGGGGGGGGCTTCAACTCCCAGAATTCCTCGTTCCCCTTAGAATCGATGAGGTTGAGAAACCTTGGCTTGCGCTTCTTTGGGTGCCCGCTAGATGGCAGCAAAAAAACCCAAACATTTTTCTGTAGGTCTTTACTGCCATCTAATGGCCGCCCAAACATTTTTCATGAAGCGGTGTATAAGTCTCAGTGCTATTGCTAAGTCTGCTGTGTAAGCTCTGTTGCACTCTTCCTGACCCCTTTTGCTAGGGCTCCAGCAAACTGATGGCCTGATCAACAACTCCATCTAGTGCTGGGTGGATACATGGATGGATGGATGGTTCGAGCCTGCAGCCTTGACCAGCTGTTTTGCTTTTTCGGGATGCTGGCCGTGCTCTGCTCTTACCCAGCCAGAAGATCTGAAAGGAGAGAGTGAATGGCAGAAGTTTAGGTAAATTGATAGCTCGCCGTATCCGTCTCTTGGTTCTGCTGTCAAGACAACTCCCACGTTCCTTTGTTGGGAAGATGAGTGTGTTTTCCTGCCATCGTTTTTTTTTTCCTGCCAATAACAAACAATTTCTCCAGAAAAGGAGATTCCACGCAACATTCACGCTGGCTACTGAAGCATGTGTTGAAAACCCCGAGCCCCTTTCGCAGCTTTCCAGAACAATTTGTGTAAGGCATACAGGTCTCTTACCACAACAATTGAGGGTGATATTTCTGTCGCTATTTGAGACAGAAATTGTTAAGGCAGCTTTGCTCCATTTTACAACCTTGCTTGCCCACGGTTGCTAAGCGAATCACTGCACTTGTTCAATTAGTAACATGGTTGTTAAGTAGATCCAGCTTGCCCTTTGACTTGGCTTGCCAGAAGCACGCCAGACGGGATGGCGTGACACACATAAACGCACACACACATCCCCCACGGGACACCGCAACTGTCAGAAGTACATGCCAGTGGCTAAGCATCTGAATTTTGATCACGTGGACAGTGAGGATGCTGCAGTGGTCATCAATGTGAAGAAAAGGTCATAAGTCCCTTTTTTTCAGGGCCATTATAACTTTGAATGGACACTAAACAAATTGTGGTAAGTCGAGGATTTCCTGTATTTATCCTTGCTTCCCAAAAAACAAAGGACAGGGCACCACCTGGTGGCTTCCCCA